ACCTTTGTCTAAATTTACTAAGAGCTTCTTTAGAAAATGTGAAAAATTCTTTGTGTACCACAAACATTTTTCTGCCATTCAGATTTTTTCCCCAAAACCATCAAAGACACATATACATATATCTTACCTGTAGTTCTCTTCCACCATTCATTTTCAAGTTCAATTCATGTTTTAACTGATATTATTAAACACTTTTATTTGAATCTGTATCTTAAAAGCTGATAAATTTTCAGTAATTATTCCCCATCTACATAATGATGTCATTTCAGAGAACTTTCATGATTAAGATATATGGCCCAATACTTGTCATCCTAATAAGCCATAAATTCATTGCTCTTTTCATCACTATAGAGTGAATATTGACAATTAAAGTAATTATATACATTTAAAACAATAGCCCTAGTTTGATGATGCAATATTTCTGTTTTGTTTACAAACAACAGCATTACTTTCTACCATTTTGCTAATGACATCAAAATTAAAGATGACTTCACTAGAATTTTGGTTTATTTGTTTCATTTTTTAAACTCAACAGTGTAGAATTCTATTTTCTACTAATTATAGTAACATTTTGTTATATAATTTAAATAATTCTAAGTTATTAAAATCAATTTAAAAAAATCATTTAATTATTAAATTTAACAGCAGATGGCAGCCTAACTGCTTACCTCCTGCCATATTACTTAATAATTGTTTAACTTTAATTGCTCAACAAAGGGAATCATTAAATTTAACAAGAGGTGGCAGCCTAACTGCTTACCTCCTGCCATATTACTTAATAATTGTTTAACTTTAATTGCTCAACAAAGGGAATCAGCTGTTCATCTGCTATTTGAAGTAATTATCAAGTTGACTGTATTTATTATAATTGTTAGTATTTTTTATTTATATGCAAAAATTATATTTTAAAATAAATCTTTAATTATAATGATAATTCACAAATTTAATTAGCATTAATTTTTTTAGTTATCTTTTTTTCAACAACATAATTGTCAAACTGCAGATGCTCAACAAAAATACAATAGTAGAGCTGCCCAGTTATACAGAGAGAAACTTTATCATATGGCATCAAATGCTATGAGACTACATGGAACTAAGGTAATTTAAATCATATTTTTTGAAATTTTTATTATCTAACTAACATTAACATTACAAAATAAGTTTTTTGTAATTTATTTAAAATAAATACTGTTTCAAAATTGTTTTATATTAAAATTCTATAAAAGTTCAAATAATTTATATAAATAAAATAATTGTGTATACATGTATCAATTATAGAAGAACTCAGTTAAGAAGTTTTTCAAGGGACAAGCTTAACTTAAAAAACTTAAGAGAAATGAAAATAGTATAACATTTTATTCAATAATCCATATTTATTTAACAATGTATCACCAATTTACAGTGAATTAGGCTTATATAGTATCTATTTAGATATTTGTCTAATGTAGTCTGCTTCATCTGTTTTGTTCATAAAATAAAAATTTTATGAACAAAACCACAGATGTACTATATCTACTAAAATTTGTCAAAGACATAGTATATTAATAAACCAACAAATGCCTAAATAATTGGGCTATACTATGGTTATAATTAAATAATAAATACAAATGAATTTGGTCTAGATTATAGCGTTAGGTGCCATTTCTTATCTAAAGTAATAATTATAATTTTTAATAATTTAATAAATAATTTAGAACAGTCTGGAAGAAAATAACTGNGTATAAGACACACACCTATTTTGAGACAAAAAATTTAGAAAAAAACTTTTTTTAATAGGATTGTCTAAACATGCATTTTATTTGATTTTTTATTCAAGAATATGACGGATGGACGAATCGATACCTTTACTAAACTGAAATAATCGTCATTTCTTAATTAATGTAATTCTTAATGGTCACGAGATGACAGTCGACAGAACATGGTGGCGATGACTCGTGTGTCGCTACTCTGATAATCTTGGTACTCTAGCCATTCGGTTGAGGGACCATCTGCTTAACGGACACTGCACAGGTTGGTCCCTAGAGTGGACCACTACTGTAGATAATTTCACTGTAAAAATGGTTACCTGTCAAGTATAAGATGCACCATGATTTTGAGCCCCAAAAAGTAGTAAAAAAAGTGTGACTTATACTCATCAAAATACGGTAACTATAACTTTTTATTAAAGAAAAAGATGTAGAAGAATTTTGTCTTCATTGTTTTGTTTTTCTTTTGCATGTCTTTCTTTACAATTAAATAGTATTCTAGTTTGTTTCAAGTAAGTTGGCACCTGTTGTAAACCAAAGTACATGTCATTTTGCCTTCTGATTGTTCTGAATTAAATGTTAGTTGAATGTAAGCCAAATTGTGACTGATTTCCTCTGCAAAATATATTTCTAAATAATTTTGCTCTGAAGTATGTGAAAAAGGAAAATTTGATGTGTAAATATAATATAAGTAGTATAGATATTTTTTATCTGAAAAACTGTAAATCATCATTAGAGTAGTTTCAAGATATTAATATATCTAACACAAATTAAATTGTATATTTTTTCATCAGTGAAAATCATACTTTTCNATGTGAAAAAGGAAAATTTGATGTGTAAATATAATATAAGTAGTATAGATATTTTTTATCTGAAAAACTGTAAATCATCATTAGAGTAGTTTCAAGATATTAATATATCTAACACAAATTAAATTGTATATTTTTTCATCAGTGAAAATCATACTTTTCATCTATATTATTATTACTAAAATAGAAGTCGATAATTGTAATGAAATAATAAAATTCAATTATTACAGAAATAATACATTTATTGTATGAGAAATAACAACAATGTAAAGTAAAAACTTTTTGAAGCAGATGGCTTTCCTCTGTTATTGTTATAATAGAAAAAGAACTTCTGATGAAACGAAAGAGATAATAAACATCAAAGAATGTTATAAAATTTGCAAGAATGGATAATATTTTTGGAATATTGTTTTCTACAGTTTTTGTTGTTAGTAGTTAACTTTTATTGGCTTTTATCATTTTGTAATTTAAATTTTTTACAGTATAATGTCTTTGGCCACTTTGGAGATAGTAATAATTGTATGCTATGAATATATTTAGCATTTACCATATTTAATTTTAGAACCATTTTGTATTTTTTTCTAAGATTTAGAGAGATTATTTTTTAATATCCTTAAATTAGTATTGTTTTAATCAGTTAAAAATATGATTTTGCTTAAGTTAGTGCACTTTAGTGAAGTTATACTTAAATTGCTGGACTGTTTATTTACATTATTTATTCTTTTAAAAGACTAAGTATGATTTATACTCATATATTTACCAGGTTGGATTATTGTTTTCCTTTCCTGCCTCAGAGTTGGAAAGAAAAAAAAATAGAAGACAATTGTTTTAAACTGTATGCGGAAATTTTCCAAAGAATACCTGCTATAACAAGTATGATTAAAGTGAGTGAATTGAGTAAATTTTGAGTGAATTGATCATGTCTCCTGATTAAAACAGACTACATAAGACAAAACTTGGGTTACTAGTCCTAGCAGAGGTTATACTTTGGAAAATTTCCACATATGTTTAATGAAAAAGTCTGCCATCATGATTTAGTTGTTAAATTATTGTGTACAATTGTTTTATCTTAAAATTTAGTGAATTCACAATGGATATGGAAAAAATGGCCAGCTTAGTGCCTCTGAGTGGAAAAATAAACAATTAAAAAACTGTCATTTGTCATCTTTAGTTTTTATGTTTTAAAATCTATATGCAACCTATTCAGTAAATCTGTTTCAGCATAAAAGAGATTTTATTTTACAGAAAGAACTTACCATGGGCATATGATTCTCGAATATATTTTCCATAATAATAAAGAAGATAATTTTCACACATCGTGTATTTCATAGTTAGATAAGTTCAATTTTAGACTAAATATTGATACTTTTCAATTATTCAAAGCTTTTGTATTAATAAGAAAATATCCTTTCAATAATTATTTATTATCCAAAATTAAAGTAAATGTTGAGTGATATGATGTGGCTCCCCTTCTATAATAATTATTTCTTAAGAATTATAATAAAACTAATATTAAATTTTACTGAAAGAAAGGAAACTGTAAATTCTTTCATAAAGACTGGCGTAATTGTGGATTCATAAGAAAATACTGTCATGAAAAATGATTCAATATAAATTTTGATATTGACAAATGCCAAATGTTTAAATGTTATTTGGTGTATGTCCATAATGACAATGTATGAATGAATTAAATGGCATTGAATTTAAATTATTCTTGGAAAAAAATTTTAGACATTTTTTTTAATTTAACAAATTATCAAAAAAACTCTGTAAACAGTTGTGTAAACGTATAAAAGTTTTTCTAATAAACATGACTCAGTCTTAAATTTTGAATCTTTTGTCAAGATTCATTTTTAATTTACTTAATAACTACCTCAGTCACACATTATTATCGTCAATAAGTTTTTAATTAATTTGTTTTTTTTTTTATGTGTTTAAATAGGTATATTTTTTAATATATTAATTGGGATTGTGTGTTTTGAAACAATGAATACTGATTAAACAAAAATGCTAAGGAGATGGAGTTGCTATTTAATACAAAATAAAATATTTTTTGAGACTTGAGCATCTCAGCATCAGATCTTACACAGCCATTTTTAATTTGAACATAACATTGTGCCTTTCAAATTAAAAATGGTTCTATAAGATCTGATCCCAAGATGTGTAAAGTCTCAAAAAACATTCATCGTGTATATTAAATATTCACTTTTTCACTTTCTTAGCATCTTTGTTGTTTAATGATATTCTATGGAGCAGTATCCTTAAATTAATTAAAGATGTTGTTAGTGAAATACTAAAATGAATAAAGATTTTGATATAAATGAACAAAATTATAATATTTTCTAATTTTATATATAATAAGTTTTAAGAAAAAATTAAACTACACAAATTTTCAATAACAAACTATATTGTAATAATATTTGTAAATTAATTGTTATATTTCTAGATATGTTTTGATTGTGGGGCAAAGAATCCAACATGGGCCAGTGTAACTTTTGGTGTTTTTATATGCATGGACTGTTCAGCTATACATAGATCACTAGGAGTTCATGTGTCGTTTGTACGATCGACTCAACTGGACACTTCGTGGACTTGGCAACAGATAAGGGCTATGCAAGTTGGTGGAAATGCTAATGCTGTAAGTTTTTTAGTTTTTTAATTATAATAAATAATACTTGCTTATGTAAACAAAAATAAGATACATTTTTGTATTGCCGAACATGTAAATTTGCTTAATTTGAATGCTGGAATGATTGTTGATGCATGCTGGGAACAGCTGTTGGGTATAAAACGTAACCAACAAATAACATCTTGATGTATCCACTGAGGAGGCCTAGATGGCAAAATGCATTTGGATAAAATTAATAAAATGATGATTGTTCCTTGCCATTTGTTCATCTTGTTTTGGCTCATAGAATCCTCAAAGTTGGAAATAGAAGGAGTATAATTTTTACTTGTTTTTTAACTAAAAATTTTTATTTTTAGTGTGTTAAAAATAAGATACTTTGGTGACTTAATATAATGCAATCCTTGGGGTCCAAAAAAGAGCAAAGCAAATACTTCACAAAACTGGACAAGGAAACAACTATACAAACTCCATACCTTTATCTAGTCAGTTAGGTCAGTTACTAGTTATTTCTCTGTAAAATAAATGTTTTCTATCTTCTCCTAAGATCTTTCTTAGATATTATTCAAAAATGGAAAAGTCTAAAGAATGTATTTCAAACACAATGTATTTCAAAATTTGAAACCTCCAATCAAGTATGTATAGATGATTGATGTAATTAAATCACAAATATTTATTAAAACACACTTGCCAAGCATGAGAAATGCATTCATTGCTCTTCTTTATAATTAATACAGCCTCCATGTTGGTCCACGTTGAAGATCTCAAGGGCTTCCAATTCTCTAAGATGTTCAGTAGAGATAACACATCTTATCAAAAAGACCTGATCTATTTTTGCTGGACTAGAAGGCACAGTGGTGGTATAGGTTCAAAAAGTTAAGCATATTGGGAGGCAGAATCATTTCTGCTATTTGTAAAAATAATCCTTGTCACATTGTGACCACTGTTTATTATCTTAATGTTTACCATATATCGTCCATTTTGCTCCAGCTTTTTCTGTACCAAAACTGCATAAATAGATTTTAACCTAAGTGTTAAACTATGTTTATATGGTGACAGTTACAATGTATACACATGGCTGGCAAAATGTTACAAATTGAGTCAATTGATTTTGAGTTGTGCCATTAACCATCAATTAACTCTATAGCTTACATTAAGATTAAATAAAAGCTACACAATCTGAAATGATTGATAAGTGGGGTTAATAGGCTGTCTGCATTTGTATGTGAGCCTTCATTATATTTAGTCACTAATGTGCTAAAGCATATATTGTTGCTAAAGTATTGTTGAATGTTGTAATTTTAATGCTCCAATAGAAAAACAATGTGCAATTATATATTTGCAAGATTTTAAAAAATGCAAAACTAAATGATTGTCAATACAACTTTTTATTGGGAATTTGACAATTAACTACATTTAAATAATAATTTTATGCATGTAATACAAGAAATCAAAATTATTAATTCAGTAATGTTTTTTAGTAATTCTGCAGTCATTGTTAGCCCTCAAAGATTATAAATGAACCATATAGAATATAAATTTTAAATTTACTTGTTAAATTTAGAATATAGTATTATAAAACATGAATTAGAAAAATTATTATAAAATAAAATGGTTCCCAANTGAAGAAAGTACACCAACCACTATGAAGTTAAGAAGATCCATAAGAAGTGTTATACCTAAACATGCAGTATGGAAAATAGAAAGGAAAATAATAAAATCGGTAATTAGATTTAAGTATAAGAAATGTAATAATCTCAAATACCAAATAAGAAAATTATTATATAGACTTAAATATAGTGAAAACCCATATAAAAATATAGCTAGAGAATATAAGTATAAAAAAGAAATGAAATTACATAAGTTATTTTCCTACCCTACACCTAAAGAAAAATGTAATTGGATTAATAACCTTATTGTAAATAACTCTGATATTTTAATACCTGATCCAGTTAAAAAATTCCTAGCGTTGGGTTTAGAGTACAACTTACCTATAGCTGAACTTACATTAGATATGATTGCGAATATAGACAAAAATATAAAAGATCTTACAATCAAAAAAGAAGATAAAAATAATTTAATAACATTAGTAATTCAGAATTTAAAATGTGTAACTAAAAAAGATAAATATAAAATTAATAAATGTAAAATTAATATGTCATTACTTGTGAATTTTCTTGAAAGTAATAATCTTACAATTAAAAAAGCAGATAAAACGAAACAATTAGTTATAATGGATAAAAATAAATTAATTGAAAAAACTAGTGAACAAATTATAAGTAGTAATTATATCCAACTAAATGATAACCCGTATGAATAAATAAAAAAGGAATTAATTAAACTAGTTAAAAAAGGTATTCAGAACAAAAATATTAGTAATACAAATAAAAATTACCGTATATACTAGATTCTAGTAATGATAGAACCCCAAAATTAAATATAAGATTGAAAACGCATAAACAAGAGAAGTTTAGACCAATTGTAGATTTTAAATTTTCGGTTCTATATAATTTAGAGCAGTATATTAAACAACAGTTAAACATATTGAAAATTCTATTTATAGTGTGGATAATGCTGATATTGTCATTAATAGAATAAAAAAGTTAAAAAAAGAAAATACGGATAAATTAATGAGCCTTGATATAAAAAATATGTATCCCAATATAAACTGGGAGTTAATAAGAGATAGTTTAATAGAATTGAATGTAGAAAAAACTTTAATTGATTTGATACATTTTGCATATATGAACAATTATTTTAAGGTGAATGATAAGTTTTATAGACAGATTGATGGTATAAGTATGGGGTCAAAGATGGGGCCAAAATTAGCAGAAATAGCTATGATTAATATAGATAAGAAAATAAATAACATTAAAGGCATAAAATTAATAGTAAGATACGTAGATGATTATTTAATAATATATAACAGTAGTTTAACTAATAAAAACATTATACATCCCTTTATAAATGGTATAAATAAAAAAATACAATTTGACATTGAACTAGAAGAAAACAAAAAAATTAATTATCTTGATATCACTATTATAAATAACACTAAAAAATTTGAATTTATAACATATAAAAAATCATGTGATGTTAAAAAAACCACTAATTACAATTCTTACATACCTGATTATATAAAAAAGAATTCATACCTGATGGAATTAAAAAAGATATATACACGTATAACAGAAGAACATAATATTAACGTTAAATTAGAAGAATTAGATTATAAGTTCATTTTGAATGATTACCCAAAATTTAAAATTAATAAGTGGAGAGCTTACTTCTTGAAAAATAGATTTAATACAAAATATAAATCTGAAAAACAGTATAAAAAATTCCCATACATAAAAGATATATTTGAAAGTATCAGTAAAATCCTTAAGAAAGACAATATATGTTTGGCCCCATCTTTGACCAATAAGATTACAGATAATGTTTCTAAATATATTAATAGAAGTAACCTTAATAATATAGATCTGTTAAAAAAGACAGGTATTGTATACAAAATAGAATGTAACTGTATGAATCCATGTAGTTATATAGGTGAAACTGGAAGGGTGTTAGATGTAAGAATAAAGGAACACGAAGCGGCTATCAGATTGAGATATAAAAATTCGCCATGGTACGAACACACGGAAAACAATAGATGTAAAATTAATCGCAATAATATTAAAATTCTACACCATGAAAAGGACATATATAAACGTAAATTTAAAGAACACTTAGAAATTAAGAAAAACCAAAATAATTTAATAAATATTTCTGATGGGATGCAAATAGATTCTAGATGGTACAAAATGATAGAGGGCGCTATATAGTAATAAAATAATGAAGTTATTGCGATTGATTTAAAAGTGGTATTCTAATGTATTGCTAGTTAGATTGGTTGTTCGTATGCTATTTATATTTTAAAGGTCTGTAATGTATTGGTTATTGTATACACTTGTTAAGTTTACAGTAAAGTCATTATGTATAATGGTTTTTAGAAGAGATGTTATGCAAACACTTCAAGTGCATTTTAAATGGAAAACAAATAGTTGGTGTTCAGATGTAGTGGTAGCCCATACACAACTTTTACTTTAAGAGTAAGTAAGTAGTGATATTCTGTAATGTATTTATGTCATGTATTGGTTATTGTAAATCTTCATTGTTTTTTGAAAAATTAGCACTGAAGAGGGGTTGGATGAGTATACCAACCCGAAATGCATATGTCATTTTTTAAAGAATAAAAGTGAGTTCCTAACTAAAAGTTTTGCTGTGAGTCCGTCTAACAAAAACCTTTTGGATTACAGAGACGAATTATATACATAGTAACATACAGCAGTCCAGATACAGACCTTGCTTTCCTGCTTGATTTTTCATGAGATCAGCATGTATCTTTTTAGCTTTCTTGCAAATAATTACTTCTGATACGCTGTTGCCAGCACACTGTTTTTCAGTTATCCAAAGCAAAAGCATTTTCTCAACATGATCTAATGTCTTCGATCTCTGTTTAGAAATTGATTTAACCCCTTTCGCAACATTAGCAGATTTAATAATGTCTTTATTTTTCACAATCGTCATTCTCAGAATACGGTATGCAACAGTTAAAATCTCGAACACGCATGCCACCTTTATATTTCTCAACAATCTCTTTTTTCAGTTCCATTGTGATTCTAGTCATTTTTTTTTCTCTGTTGCTTTTCACTTGCCTTTTTGCAATTCATGATTAATAAAAATAATAAAATTTTACTTACAAATTAAAATCAGAAGAAATTTAACAAAGTTATGAACAGTGGACCACGAACGTCTGGTCTGGTCTGGTCTAGTACACCGATAGTGCTACTTGTTCATAGATGGTGCATATAATTGAATTAATACCAAATAATAGTCGTATACCAAACAAAAGTCATATACCGAGCAAAATTTGTTTTGTCCAAACAGGACATATTTTGAATTGGACGTATATACAGAGGTACCACTGTATTTTTATGGTATCTAAGATGAGTTAGATTGCCAAGAATAATCGTTTATTTTTCAAGGATTGTGTCCTTTTGTGTTTAAAGTATCATTTGACCAAAACTTTGGATATATATTTTTAAACTAAATATAAAATGTGAAAATTTGTATAATTAGGTCCATCAGTTGAACATTTAGGCACTTCACCAGTACAGAATGAACCAAGAAAATCAATAATTGCTGCTAGGAAACCAGCTTCTAAAAAGGGGGTAAATATTGTAAAATTTTATAATTATGAATTAATTTAATTAAAAACAGTGTGTACAATTAATATATTTGTTGCTATGTCAAGTTGGGAACCAAAAAAGGATTAGGTGCTCAGAAAGTTAAAACAGACTTTTCTGAAATAGAAAAAGAAGCACAACAAACTGATCAATTAAAAGAACAGCTGTCTGCCAAACAAAATACCAAGATTTCAAAGGAAACAGAGGAGAAACAACTGTAAGCAGGTTCTTAAACTTTTTTTTCTAATAATTTATTTTGAAAGAATTTTTTCTTATGTAATTAGAATCACATTTATTTATTTATGTATCACATTTATGTAACACATTTATTTATGTATCACATATTAATAGAATCACATTTATTTATGTAATTAGAATCACATAGAGCACAATTATAAAAAATATATTTTATATTTATGAATTTATTATTTAAAATGCTATTCTAAGCATTTTGTAATAAGAATTACTGGTTTATATATTACATTTATAATTTTCTTTAATCTGTTCAAGAAAATGTATCATTAAGTCAGCACAGGTTAATGCCATTTAGCATAATTCCTCTTTTTTGTATAATTAAATTACCTCAAGAAATTTTAGAAAACGTACAAAGAAAATTCAAATTAAAAATTGATTTAATAAGTACACCCAAATATACATAAATTTTTAATGTAATTCTAAGAGAAATTTGCCTTTTATATAGTGGATCACTATACATCATTTTGTTCATATATCACTTGTTATTTATTACAAACCATTCCTACTTCTTTCAATGATGAAATATATGTTTACATATCTAAATTCATTAAGTTTTGTTTATAAAACACTTCCTTTCTAATAAAGATGCTATCATAATATTTTAATGGAAAGCATACTTGGAATTTCTTCTTTGCTCTATTCTCTCATTTCTTTCTCTTCACATTTCTGGAATAAAAGGCACAGAATTGACCCACCAGATACATTGCCTCTTATGGCTTTATTCAGAGTCAAAATTGAAGTTAACCAATCAGAATTCATGTATTTAAAGTAAAATGAATGCTTTGACTGTCAACTCTGTTGGTGAATATAGCTGTTAGAGAGAGAGCGGATTAATAGGAAGTTTACAGTATTCTGTAATAGCAAAAAAATTTATAAACATTGAATGTTCTTTGAACAGAAACAGTTAATTTCAGGAACTATTCAACATACAGTTCTTAATAAATATTCTAAAATTAAAAAAAAGGTAATGAATTGTATCTACATATTACCATTAGTATTTGAGTCTTGGATAGGAAGAAATCATTCTTAAATTTATTGCTATTAATCTATTACATAAATTATGACTACTTGGCCTTTAAATTTCAAAAAAAAAGATGTGCACTAAAGGGCAATAAAAATACTTAAAAATTGTTAAAAGCTGTAACTCTAATAAAGTTTCTCATAAAAACTATTAGTTCTGCCATCTTGTGGTACATCTTGACCTTAAATTTTGAGTATATCTCTTTTCAGTCTAGTCTCTTGAGAGACTACTGTTTTGAAATGTTCACTGCATTTCAAGAAAATAATTGATGATGATAAAAACAATAGACAACAATAAAATTCAATTTAAAAGTTTAAGTGACTAACAGTTTATCTAAAAAATAAACTTTTAATATCCTGTTTTATTGTTTCAGAGTTTCAGTGCGTTTAGCCTATCAAGATCTTAGCTTAAAAAAGAAACAAACAGAAGAAAAAATTCGTCAGGTCGATCCTCGCAAAGCCGAACAGCTTGAGAGATTAGGAATGGGATTTTCTAGTTCTTCACATGGAGACGTATCTCATTCGGCTGCTTCCAATATGACTACAATTACACAAGATAATCCATCTTCAGGTGGAAGAGAGAAAGAGAGAGATTTTGATGATGATTTTGAATTTGTTAGCTTCACATCAGGACCACCAAAGTAAATACCTTTTAAAATTTTTGTAATTTTATTAAGATTTTTAAAAACTTTTATTGATATTTAACATTGGAAAAATAAAATACTGTAATGACATTGTGATTTAAACGTTTTGTCCATGGACGAATTTTATTTTTTATGCATTTTTGAATTTTGATTTCTTCTCCTTTTTACTTCAGATTTATCCAGAAACTATAAATCAGTAATGCAAATTTAAATGTATTTTTTGGAAATTTGAAAATATTGTTAAATTAACATTAACAAAACAGGCTGAGGGGGGCATAGCCTGAAATGCATTTCTGTCGATTGAATAAAGATCTCTCTTTTTTAAAAAAGATGCAATGGTGATCCTGTGTATGTTAGATCTGAGAAGATAATATTTAATTATTGCAGACCTACCAAAACCCAGGATCAGAAGCTAATACTAGAAAAATAAAATGTAATTGTATTCATCTCTTGTTTGCACAAATTTCTTTCAGATGATTGCTACGTATTTATTTTCCATATTTATTCATCATTTCTCAACATTTTTCAACATTTCTAGATTAAAGATTACAATTATAATCCATTAGAGTTTAGTTTAGGATTGTTGATACAATAACTAGCCAAAGATGAATGGATAGTTAAGAGAATTTTAACATAAGAATTCTTTTAGCAATCATTTAACTGTTCAAATTTATTGAATAATGCAATGTTGACTTGTTCAAATAATTTTAAAATATTCTGATTTTTCTATTATATGATTTATTATTTAATNAACAAAAATGCTAAGGAGATGGAGTTGCTATTTAATACAAAATAAAATATTTTTTGAGACTTGAGCATCTCAGCATCAGATCTTACACAGCCATTTTTAATTTGAACATAACATTGTGCCTTTCAAATTAAAAATGGTTCTATAAGATCTGATCCCAAGATGTGTAAAGTCTCAAAAAACATTCATCGTGTATATTAAATATTCACTTTTTCACTTTCTTAGCATCTTTGTTGTTTAATGATATTCTATGGAGCAGTATCCTTAAATTAATTAAAGATGTTGTTAGTGAAATACTAAAATGAATAAAGATTTTGATATAAATGAACAAAATTATAATATTTTCTAATTTTATATATAATAAGTTTTAAGAAAAAATTAAACTACACAAATTTTCAATAACAAACTATATTGTAATAATATTTGTAAATTAATTGTTATATTTCTAGATATGTTTTGATTGTGGGGCAAAGAATCCAACATGGGCCAGTGTAACTTTTGGTGTTTTTATATGCATGGACTGTTCAGCTATACATAGATCACTAGGAGTTCATGTGTCGTTTGTACGATCGACTCAACTGGACACTTCGTGGACTTGGCAACAGATAAGGGCTATGCAAGTTGGTGGAAATGCTAATGCTGTAAGTTTTTTAGTTTTTTAATTATAATAAATAATACTTGCTTATGTAAACAAAAATAAGATACATTTTTGTATTGCCGAACATGTAAATTTGCTTAATTTGAATGCTGGAATGATTGTTGATGCATGCTGGGAACAGCTGTTGGGTATAAAACGTAACCAACAAATAACATCTTGATGTATCCACTGAGGAGGCCTAGATGGCAAAATGCATTTGGATAAAATTAATAAAATGATGATTGTTCCTTGCCATTTGTTCATCTTGTTTTGGCTCATAGAATCCTCAAAGTTGGAAATAGAAGGAGTATAATTTTTACTTGTTTTTTAACTAAAAATTTTTATTTTTAGTGTGTTAAAAATAAGATACTTTGGTGACTTAATATAATGCAATCCTTGGGGTCCAAAAAAGAGCAAAGCAAATACTTCACAAAACTGGACAAGGAAACAACTATACAAACTCCATACCTTTATCTAGTCAGTTAGGTCAGTTACTAGTTATTTCTCTGTAAAATAAATGTTTTCTATCTTCTCCTAAGATCTTTCTTAGATATTATTCAAAAATGGAAAAGTCTAAAGAATGTATTTCAAACACAATGTATTTCAAAATTTGAAACCTCCAATCAAGTATGTATAGATGATTGATGTAATTAAATCACAAATATTTATTAAAACACACTTGCCAAGCATGAGAAATGCATTGCTCTTCTTTATAATTAATACAGCCTCCATGTTGGTCCACGTTGAAGATCTCAAGGGCTTCCAATTCTCTAAGATGTTCAGTAGAGATAACACATCTTATCAAAAAGACCTGATCTATTTTTGCTGGACTAGAAGGCACAGTGGTGGTATAGGTCCAAAAAGTTAAGCATATTGGGAGGCAGAATCATTTCTGCTATTTGTAAAAATAATCCTTGTCACATTGTGACCACTGTTTATTATCTTAATGTTTACCATATATCGTCCATTTTGCTCCAGCTTTTTCTGTACCAAAACTGCATAAATAGATTTTAACCTAAGTGTTAAACTATGTTTATATGGTGACAGTTACAATGTATACACATGGCTGGCAAAATGTTACAAATTGAGTCAATTGATTTTGAGTTGTGCCATTAACCATCAATTAACTCTATAGCTTACATTAAGATTAAATAAAAGCTACACAATCTGAAATGATTGATAAGTGGGGTTAATAGGCTGTCTGCATTTGTATGTGAGCCTTCATTATATTTAGTCACTAATGTGCTAAAGCATATATTGTTGCTAAAGTATTGTTGAATGTTGTAATTTTAATGCTCCAATAGAAAAACAATGTGCAATTATATATTTGCAAGATTTTAAAAAATGCAAAACTAAATGATTGTCAATACAACTTTTTATTGGGAATTTGACAATTAACTACATTTAAATAATAATTTTATGCATGTAATACAAGAAATCAAAATTATTAATTCAGTAATGTTTTTTAGTAATTCTGCAGTCATTGTTAGCCCTCAAAGATTATAAATGAACCATATAGAATATAAATTTTAAATTTACTTGTTAAATTTAGAATATAGTATTATAAAACATGAATTAGAAAAATTATTATAAAATAAAATGGTTCCCAAGTTTTACGTATTTGCATGAGGTTATATAGTATGAGTATGTAATAAAGCTATCTTTTTTGTAAAATGAAGCTAATTCAGTAGTTTTTTTATATTAATATTAGAACTTTAAAGAGGATATTATAGAAAGAATATAATTTTATGTAAATCACTATTTTAAATGAAACATTATAGAAAAGTTCACAAGTGGCTTATATCAGATATTATGTTTGTTTAAAGATGGATGATGATGATATAAAACTATAAATTCAAAATATAACTTTAATAATGGTTGCAGTTATGATTTTTCTAACTAATAATATGTCACATTAAAAATATATTAAACTTTTTAGAATTTTTGAAGATATATGCATGAAATCATAACACACCTGTGCATATATGTTTTTGAAATAATCCAATCTCAAGTAATAAAATTAGATTTCACATCTTTTAGCTGCTGTTATCATTATCTTGCATCTTATGTAATAGAATTACTTATTATAATCACAGATATTGTTTTCAGTCATCTAATAATATCAGAATTAGCACTTTCCAAAGCATACAAGTTAAGCAAAGTTTTATCTTTATTATATTATTATTTTCAGCTAAATAGAGTCAAAACCAATGTAAAATTTCCTATGAATGTTTACATTTAAAGCACTGATTAAGCATTAATCATTTCATTTTCTCACAATATTACAAAAACTAGCAGGCAAACAACACTGGATGAATTATTTTTATCAATTCTAAGACACACCATGAGTTTACAATTGAATTATAAGATACTTTATTTTTATGGAGAGAGAGTTTTTAAAATTGGCTGAAAGTTTAAAAAATAATACAGAAATTATGAAACAGATATCAGGCTACTTTATTTCTGTACTCTGCTGTGTAAGCAGTCATTTTTGTTTTAACATTTTCAAGATGATATTAAAAACTTGCATTTTAAAAAATTAAGACATATTTAAATTAAACACTCACTATTGGTGAAATACATTTGAATTAATGTGAACATTGAGAGAGGTATTGCAAAAACATTTATTATGTTACAACACACCACATGATTTACTTGCATTGATACTATTGATTATTTTGGACATTAAATATGAGAAAACCATCAATTCAAAACTTGCCATGTTATATTAATTAATTGCATAAATTATTTAACGTTTTAAATATTTAAATGCTTTAAATAACAATATTATACTATATGGTTGCTAAGTTTTTGCCAACCAACAAGTCTAAGATGCATTCCTGTTTTGAAAAAGCTTTGATAAGTGAAACTAGTGAATTTTAAAACTAACTGCCTGACTGATTGTAACTAACTTTTCAAAAAACATATTACTAAAACTCAAATATAAAGTATTGATATTTTTAGAATAAAATAATTTAATTGATGCCTCCAAGTTTAGTTTTGATCTGTTCAGTTGAATATAAAAATACATGCTACTTTTTTGGATAGCCAAATGTTTTATTATGTACAAAACTGTTTTTTGGCCTAAAAAGGCTGACAATATTTAAAATAGTGTTTCTCAAATGGGATCCCAGTTGTTTTTTTAACCTGGGAAATTCTTCTCATCCCAGAAATCCCACAAATTTCTTAAAAGTTCACTTTTTTTATTTTTTTATTTTGTGTTAAGGTTGAGGAAATTTTGCAAATAGAAAGTATAATTAACTCATAAACTGTCAGAATACATTTGTATTTATTTATTTTAAACCTATGTATTAGTTTTTTTCAATTTTTCCTCATTACGGCAGGTCACAAATGGTCAATAATCAATACGTAGCTTATTTGTGGCAGGACTCTGAAAATTCTTTACTTGTCAGACCTATAATATCTGGAATAATTGTGCTTATGCTGTCTTAATTTTTAACCATGCCCAGTAGCTTCAATAACTGCGTAATGCCAGGTTGTGCAAATTGGGCAAGGATACAAACAAGTGTGAAGTCTGCAAGTATGAAGTTTTTCTTCATAAACTTGATTATTAAAGCCAAACGAATTGCTGAATTATCAAGCTATAAGCTT